GCTTCAAATAAATAGCCTTTATGTTATATGTATATTTATTAAAATAGATATTATCTCGTAAATATAATTTTTCCCCATTTAGTGAGTTAGTTTCTATAATTTCTTTATCCTCGTGCTAGTTGTATAAAGTTAGTGGCGCTGAGCTCTATAACCAAAGAAAAAACGACTATTGTCGCATGTGTAAACGAAAAGAGAGTGTGGGTCGTTCATGTAACAGAGTGCGTAAACTTATAAGATTATCTGCTTGATAAAGTTATCGTTTTAGATGAATACCACTAATAAATTTATCCTTTTATCAAGTTTATCAGCAGTTGTATCCATGAACCAAAAATACAAGATCACGTAAGAACGCGACGTTGTATTTGTAACTGGTTTTGAGAAAAAAGTTTGCGAAAGCGGGTTCGTCAGCTGAGCGTTTGTTTACATCACAAGCACCACTATTTTACACTTTTATTCAAGTAAAGAAGAGTTAATTCAACATGACAACACATTTTAAAGCATTTTGTTGCATCATTTTACCTAAATTGTGCGTTTAAAGTGGCTGACAATAATTTTGTCTAATTTTGGTTTTCGTTGTTTCCTTTGTTTTGTTTACTTTTCGCTCGTTTTCCAGTGAAACAAGATGGCGTAGAACCCGCTAAAAAAATCGACTTTTTTCATTCTCTTGTTCTTACGTGATCTTGTGTCTTTCGTTCATGAGTTGTATCATATTTGATGAAGACCCCGTTATTTTTGTAAGAGGTGCACCCCTGGTGTTTCCAAATGTGTCACATGTTTCATTGGATTTATGAGCAACCCTGTCTTGCCTTCCAGTGAGTTTTGTTCGCCCTGGTTGGATTTTTTTGGTTGTCGAATTTGTCTCACGCGTAGTTAAGGAAAACTTCCTTTTTTGGGTATATCCTTGAAAGCTGGGTCAAATCGAAGTGCTAAATGTTTATTAAAAATAAATGCGGAAACTCCTAAATCATTGCTCTGTCCAGATGTGATATATTAGTTCATGACACTATAACGGCGAAAGGGTTACATAAATGATAATAACAGCGCGGATAATTGTACGGAGTTTTTTCTAATCCTTGCTATAGATTTATGCTGATTTGGACCCACAAATCCCAACATCACTTTTAAGAATTACTAAAACGAAATGATATCGACCTACATTTTCCGCATATGCAATTCCGATAACTTTTTAACTATTGAATATTTTGTGAAAGGTGCTAATTAGAAGGAATTTGAAAAAAATAAAACCAAAGTAAAAGTTTGGAAAAAATATATTTGGACTTCTATATCGCGTTATTACATAATTTAAGGATTCGCATCATCCCCAATATGAAAATTTGAACCATTCTAGCTTTTTAATCACGTTTCACGCTTAAAACTACTGTAAAACGCGCTACGAAGGAGACAAGAGCTTTCTGATGCATTCATTGAGCTGGACGACGAGAGTAATCTCGCGAGCGTTACGTAGTAGCTTCTCTACGCTACTAGAGACAGCTAGCAATGCAACAGCGAATGTAAATAGTGCCTCGAAACAACGCCCGCACTTTGTATCTGTTGTGTGTGGCTTTCCTAAAGACTTTCTAACTTCCAAATACAAGCCAGGCAAATACGGCGAAGATTCATGGTTTAAGACGTCAACCACCAACGCAGATGTGCTAGGTAAGCAATTTTATAATTACATAACTTTAAAAGATACATTCGAGATTAATATAAAGCATGTTGCCCTGCCCATTCGTAGTTCATCGTTCAGATATACATGTGCATATGCACATATATACTTACATATGTACACATTATCGATTTCTAAGAGTGCAGCTCCTTAACCTATGTATATGAATGTGTACAAAAATTCGCATTCTAAATGCAACGAATACCTAATTTCTTTATTATTATTAATATAATAGAAATGGTCTGTCTATTAAGCTCAACGAACAGTCCTCGATTCAATACCAATTAAATTTCTCTCAAATGTCGCGTAAAATATTAATTTGTGCACTTTGTACCTGTTGTGTTAGTGTCGATTAAACACTGAC